GATAACAAAAGAGAAAAGTAAACTATCAAAGGAAATATTAATCAATACACTATTCTAATAGCCTAATATTTATACATCGATAATCTTTGCTGCAGCATTGATAAACATGCTTGCATCCTCGTGAATTAACATCGTTATTGTGACAGCAATTCCAGTATCCAGGTACGAACTCGGATTTGCTCCTCCAAGAGAAAAAGACACGAACTATCTAAGCTTGAGGACTATTGTCAAACACTTGTTTCGTTATAAATCCAACATAGTAGTTATGCTTATAAACATGAAGAGATAGATATATATCTATAAACTTTTCCCTTACTGTATCTAGGTGAAATGATTCTGTTTCCAAATGACATTTAGAAAATGTTAACCTTGGATCAATTTCTTAGAACATTTGAATTTTCTCTGGCTCCTATCACGAGGACCATTATTAATTGTATCCCCTTTAGTGACGATAATGGTATTATCCCACACATTTCCATTATAGTATTTTGTCGACGTTTGTACGAGGTTTTCGTTCTAACGTCGGATACCACGAGCCACAAGATCGTTGTTATATTCTAAATTTTCGCTTCCAAAATCTTAAGAAAAATCGAAAACACAAATTCCTCATCGTTCTTATCTTCATCAGAATCATCAAACCCAGGTGTATCAATATAGAAACCTCCTTTAATATTATGAATTGTAATTGTATCAGATTTGGATTTGGTTAAATGTCCGATTCTCACATTTTGCGCCCCAAAGATGGTTGCTGTGAGGCTTTTCCATTCCCGTATTGCCAACTGCAAGATACATCGTTGTGATAACTAATTCGAATATAAGTATAAAATACTTTAAGTGTTTTAAAAATGAAAATGACACTTACGTTTGCATCAAACATTTTGCCGTGACTATCAATAAGAGATTGGGTCTTAGTGATAAATCAAAGTGTTGTCAAATAAACCAGAATTTATATGATCGTCAGATTTTCGAAAATTCAATAAATGAAAGCAATCTCTTCTAGTCATTATTTGTGTGAAACAGCACCTCATCAATCTTTATTGTGAAATACATGTAATTGTGTAATTGCTGGTTTTATTTTTTATGTTAGAAAAAGTGAAAAAAAAGCGAATTTCAATAATTTGATAAAAATCAAGCATATACCCTCTCTTCCCCTGGCTCTAGTGAATCGTCCAGCATAATTCGATTGTTTTTTTTTCGGCTCCAGTTCCAGATCCTTTACCTCGTACACGTCCTCTGCAGGCTATATATCAAAGGAATGAAATAAGATTAATATTAATCAGAGCTATAATATAAACATGTGAATCGAAAATTAAAGAATACTTGAGCTCCGGTGGATTCTGAGATTGTTGTGTCGAGCTGCAGTAAATAATAAAATAAAAAATTTACGATGGTAGAAAATTACAAAATGAATACTTACGTTTCTTCGCTTCTACATTTGCGAGTATTGTACATGGGACATATCCGCCCTATATAAGACGGTGGGACATTGTCCAAAATGTCCACGTCCACATATGCTCTAACCAATTGGTTATTAAAATTTTTCATGTCCGTACTTACAGTGGCTGCCAAATGTTTTGCATCATCCAAACGACAAATTTAAAAGTTTAATAACTTTGCGCAAATACATAGATCCATAAATTTAAATCCACATAATCGGCGAATCTTAAAAAACATATACGAGGATAATCTTATAGGTAATTATTATCGTAATAACAAAAAAAGAGGTTTACGCAATTTTACGTAATGCGTTTCTTTTGATTGATTTAAAACATAAAAATTAAAATACTATTGCCAACTAACTAACAAATAAAATTTGAATAAAACATTCTTTACCACCTAGTATACCCTCCTTTAGCATTAATTACATCATCCATTCGCTCGTGCATACTTTCAATTAGCCGAGTTATAAATTCATTATCCATTGTAATCCAAATTTGTTGAATAGCGTCCCACAGTTGATTATTTATTGGGATGTCCAATTGTTTCAGACGCCTATCTACCACCTTCCAGAGATGTTCAATCGGATTTAAATCGGGGGATTGAGGCGGCCATTCTATTACATTAATTCCATTATCATCAAACCATTCCATCATTTTATTAGCCACATGTTTCGGATCATTATCTTGCATAAAAATAATATTATTTTTATCCAATTCATTGTACTTGATGGTTCCCAATAAGTTATCCATTAATATTTCATGATATAATTCTTGATTCATGATACCATAAATTCGTACGATATTTCCAATCCTAAAAGAAGAAAATCAACCCCAAATCATAATATTACCATCACCAAATTTAACTGTAGGTTTTACAAGATGGTCATTAAGAGGTTCATTTTTATATTTCTAACAATATTCACAACCATTTGATCCAAACAACATAAATTTTGACTCATCTAATCAAAGGACCTTATTCCAATCCTCTATTTGCCAATCTTTATGTTCTTTTGCAAATTTTAAATGTAATTTTTGATGTTTTTTTACTTAAATAAGGCTTCTTTCATTTAACTCTAGCAAATAAATAATGTCTATATAAAGTTCTTATAGTATTGTCACTTATATTAATTTTATTATAGTTTTTTAAATTTTTTTGAATTTCCATAGCATTTGAATATTCACCACTTGAAATAAATTGTATAATATTATACTCATCATGCTCAGTTAAAATTTGAGAATGACCAGATTTTGGTAAATCTTTTATGGAACCAGTTGTTTCAAGTTTTTTTAAGATGGATAACAGAAGATTGTATGATATTTCTTATGATGCAATATTATAGGAGGAAAATCCTTCATGAAGATTTGTAATCTTTGTTCAATAGTAATATAATTTATATTGATTTAATTATTATTTTTTTTAAAAGAAATGAAAGATTATATTTGTAGGTATAATTTTTATAAAGTATATAAAATAAGATTTGTTATGAAATTTGTATATTTTATATAGTCTTACATTTAAATAGATTATTGATCAAAAATAACTTTTAGAAAGAAATAAATACAAAATTATAATAAATATAATATATTATAATCTATATTAAATTTAAAGATATGGATTGTTGCAAAAAGATTGATATATCAATATAATTACTTCTAATAAAAATTATTCAAATTTTTATAATTTTTTTATATTAAATAAAAAATGATCTAAATTTATTTTTTATACTATTTTAATTATTCTATTATACTTTAATTTAATAATAAATAAAGTATTACTTTACTAAAAAAAATTATTTTTTTTTAAAAAAAAGATATTTTAAATATTATTACTATTAATTTATACTATTAAAATTTTAAATTATGCAAGCAGATTATCTTATATTTAATAAATATATATTCTAATTTCATAAAAATTGAATTAATAGCTATAAAGATATTAAGATTTTAAAGTTTAGTAATTATATTAATTTAATCAAATTTTATATAGTAAAATTTAAGTAATAATAATTCAAAAAATTTATTATTAGTAAAATTTTTTTATAAAAGATATATAATAAAATTTTTTTATTTAAATAAATTCCAATATCTAATAACTTAATTAAATAAGACAGAATTAAAAATTTAATTTTGAAAAAATAATTTATTAATATTTATTTAACACTAATACATTAAAATTTTTGCAATGGATCATAATCAAGATTCTTTTTTTTTTAAATACACTTGATTTCACATGTAAATAATATATAAATTATATATGTTTATGTATAAAATTATTATAAAATTATTGGAATTCTTAATATAACTAGCAGAGAATATTTATATTAGAAAGATCTAATTTAGTAAAAAAGATAAAGACAAACTTATAATCTCCTACACTATGATAAATATTATCAGATTATGATATATTTTTCTTGTAGCTTGCTTGACACTATAAATTTGGATTATATATATATATATAGTATCCAAATTTTTTATAAACTTTATTGAAAATAATAAATTTTTATATTACAATTATATAAATCAAGATTTTAAATTTTAAGTTAAAAAGTAAACAAAGAAAAATACATTTTTAACTAAATATATAATCAATTTTATAAGTAACTGACTCCTATTTTCTTATTATATAATATAATAAAGCAAAAAAATTCTTTTTTTATTTAAAAATATATAATTAATTCTAATTACTAATACAGAGTATAATCATCATAGGATTCAATTAGTATCATCACATAATTTTTTATACTGTTAACTAAAGATAACTTCTCAACTATTGCAATATGATAATAAATAAAGCATCACCTAGTTGTAACTTATAAAATTTTGGAGTTGCCATGTATTGTAACAGATGATAAATAAGTATCATATACTTGCTACATCATCTCTACTATCAACTAATTTTTTACTAAATTATTAGATAGATAATTTTATTCTTTGATCAATTTACTCTTTAAACTCTTAAGAGTTCTAATTTTTTTTGTAATATTTATTTTTATAATCCTTCAGATATTTTCAATTAGATTTTGATCAGGTGATATCAATAATCAGGAAAGAACTTGTACATCATTTTTCTTCTTCTATTTATTTACAAGTTTTGAATAATATTTAGGATTATTATTCTCTTGCAAAATCCAATCTATATAATCCTTATCAAAAAGTATTTCAAGACAGAAGATCCTTCTTATAAAGTATAATCATAAAATCAACATTTAGATTTCTCTGGAAACAACTAACTTCCCAAAGCCTGAAGTTAAAAAACACTCCTCATATATGTACTTTTAATAGATGCTTTACAGAATAGAATACTTTTCTTCTATTAGAAAACATCCACATCTTTCTTCCTCATTGATTTAGTTGAAAGATGCTTTCATCTGAAAAAATTACTTGATTCTAATCAAAATTCTTATGATTTTTCACCCATTGTAGTCAGAATTTTTTATATTTATTGATGAGTAAGGGTTTGGAAAGTTAATTCATATATTTGGTTCCAGCTTTATGTAAATGTCACCAAATTGTAGGTACACTTATATTAACATTATCCTTTGTCATTTTCTGTTGTATTTTGAGAGTAGTTATGATAGTTTCTTTTTTTGCAAGCTCTTTAATTTTTTTATCTTGTTTTAGAGTTGTAATTCGTTTCTGCTCTGATTTTGGTACATCACTTAGGTCCTTTGTTTTATTTCACTTTTTGAGCACATTACTTACTGTACCTTTAGCACAACCAATATACTTCACTGTCGCTTGGAGTCCAAGCTTTGGACCTTCGGGATGAGTATGTAAAAAAACGATTTCATAATGCTTATGTAAAGGAAGAGGCATTTTTTCAACGTAGAAGTTTATTGATGATCTACGACATATGTAGATTATATATCAACCTACAAAAGGCATCATGATCAGCGTTTGTAATGTTCTTTGTGATCGGAAAATTTCATAAAATTATACATGATTTTTAGAAAGTTATGGGGGGTCAGTTACTTATGAAATTGACTGTAAGTGCACACTACATCTATTACACTTTGGTATCGATAAACGAGAGTAAAAGATACTTTTAAAATATTATTCGTGAAATTTTAATTAAAAATAAGTTAAATAAGTTGAATAATAAATATAAGAATTGATTGAAATAATCATAAATCATTGAATTACGAATCAAATTTTACAATGCTAAATTAAAAATTATTAATAACTTACAAAAAAGAATTAGATATGTATTGTCCACCTGCGTGGGCATCCTTTGCCTGATTTCAAATACCATTCGAATGCTTTTTTCGGATCTTTTTGTGTTCCGATTCCATTTTGATAACACCAACCAAGGTTATATCGTCCTCCCGCGTCTCCACCCTTTGCTGATTTCAAATACCACTCGAATGCTTTTTTCGGATCTTTTTGTATTCCGATTCCATTTTGATAACACCATCCAAGATGACATTGTCCTCCTGCGTTTCCACCATTTGCTGATTTCAAATACCACCCGAATGCTTTTTTCGGATCTTTTTGTGTTCCGATTCCATTTTGATAACACCATCCAAGCTTGCATTGTCCTCCTGCGTCTCCACCCTCGGCTGATTTGAAATACCATTCAAATGCTTTTCTCTCATTTTTTTGTATTCCAACCCCATTTTGATAATACAAGCCAATATTACGTTGCCCTCTTGCGTTTCCGCCTTCTGCTGATTTCAAATACCACTCAAATGCTTCTTTTTTATCTTTTTGTGTTCCAATTCCATTTTGATAACACCAACCAAGATTATATTGTCCTCCTGCGTCTCCACCTTCGGCCGATTTCAAATAACATATAAATGCTTTTCTCTCATTTTTTTGTATTCCGATTCCATTTTGATAACACCAACCAAGATTACATAGCCCTTCTGCGTTTCCACCCACGGCTGATTTCAAGTACCATTCGAAAGCTTCGTTCTCGTCTCTTTGTGTTCCGATTCCTTCATAATAACGCCAACCAAGGTTAAACTGAGCTCCTGCATTTCCACCCTCGGCGGATTTCAAATACCACTCGAAAGCTTTCTCCTCGTCTCTTTGTGTGCCAATTCCCTCACAATAGCACCAACCAAGATGAAATTGTCCTCCTGCGTTACCACCCTCGGCTGATTTCAAATACCATTCGAATGCTTTTGCCTCATCTTTTTGTGTACCAATTCCATGTAAAAAACAATCTGCCAGTAAAATTTGTGATACTAAATCATTTTGGATCGCTGATTCTTGATATTTTTGAAATGCTAAGTCGCTATTTTTGTCTATATTTATCCCATGTTGATAGAAAAATCCCAATAAAGTTCTTAAACTTTTTTTATTTGAATTATTATGACAAAAAAATTTTAATTGTTCGTTACCACATTTATGTATAGCAATGCGTGTACGTAGATGTTGGGCTATCTTTTTCTTTGTCTCACCAGAATTGAGCATATCATATAAAATATTTGATAATTCATTTAATTCATTGGTAATTAGTTCTAATGTGTCTTCAATATCTTCTTCATAAGTGCGTGCTGTAGAAATATCTGATAAGTCTACTGATAATTCCGATAAATCATCTCTTTCGAATGACGGCCACTCGATTTCTTTAAGTTTCTGATTTACTTCATGAATATCAGGTCTATTAACTGGCATATTATCCCAACATTGTTTATATAGCTCGACATATTTGCTAGGCGTCCCAACAATTGTGGCTTCTTTCTCATCTGTCGAATTAGAAATAATATACCCAACGTTGTTGGAGGGAATACGACCGCTAGATATGACCCAAAAAAGAATTCCAAGACTGAAGATATCCGATTTTTCGTTTCGGCGATAGTTTCGGTCCAGTAAAAACGCGGGATCAACATAGCTTATCACTCCTAAGCATGTTCTCGAATGAGAATAATCATTTGAAAGTTTTGAATATCCTAAATCCGAAATTTTGATATTCTCTTGGTGCACCAATACATTGTTATGGTTCTAATATTTAGTAAACCATGAGAATTAGAATTGTTTACATAAAAACCAACACCTTATAAAAATTAAAAAGAGCGGTCAATACCAGATCTCTATGAATTATTCCGGAATCATGAATAAATTCTAGTCCTTCAGCTAATTGGAATGCTAATTTTAATTTTTTATCGCCGGTAAGGTTTCGGTTTTTTGCCAAGAAATCACTTAGGGTGCCACCGTTAGCATACTCCAAAACAAGTATGTGGCCATTCGAAGTTGGATCTATTTCATATAGTTGCATAAAGATAAGCTTTCGTTTAAAATTTAAATCCCGATTCTTTAATTTTTACCTTGTGTAATTCCATATAATTGAATAATGTTTTCATGTCGTTTAAGTTTAACAAGAAATTGTAGCTAACGAAAAAAATTTTGTCAATGGCATCGATATATTTAATTATATTATTGTATTTCAAACACGTGCATCTATAATTACCTCGTTAATGAAATCCTTGTTTATTTCCTCCTTGGATTTTTCGTTTGTTATCCAGAATCTTTTTAGTGCAACCGTCAAATTACTATTTATCACATCTGCTTTTGAAACTTCGCCAAATGCGCCGGTGCCAATCACTTTTTTGTTTACAAATTCTTCAACATTGTAATATTTTAATTGTTTACTTATAATCATAGGCACAAGCCATTCGCTTTCATTACCGTTACATGAAGACACTGACGACATTGTTTAATTTAAAGAGAGCACAATAATACATGTACATGTACATGTATTATTGGATTACAGGTTGTCTTTTGTCATCCATATCGATATACATGCAAGTACATGTATCGTTACGTGAACACACTCACTGCAGTACTTGTACACATATCAACGAAAATTTCCATCACTAAAATACATATCTTTTAATTAATCCAACGAAAATTTCCATCACTAAAATACATATCTTTTAATTAATCGATGTTTTTCATAAATGCAGTCAACCATTATCAACTTTATATAGTTCTGTTGATATCAAAGTCAATCAGCTGTTCGTATTTTGCACTAAATATTCGTGTTATATACCCTCGTGCATATCAAAAAATTGCCCAGTCCCACGAGTTTAATAACTCAAAAAGTTGATAAATAAAAATAAAAAAAGTTTATATTTAACGGGACGGCCAAAAAACTTTCGTAAAACAAGTTCCATCAATACATTATCGTTATCCAAATAAATTTGCCATGCTGAATACATTCAGCAGGATGCTACACTTAAAATCCTCTTTTTTTATGCCAAATTCTTGACTTTTGCTTTATGGATCAAATATTCGTCACACATTTCTTTAATTCAATGCTGTCTCCGATATTGATAGAATATTACGTATTATGAATAATTAACGTTAGTGTGCACTTAATATCTCAAATTATATTATAAAAATCTGGTTTAATCTTTTAAGTATACATGTTCGGAATATAAATTTAGGCACACTTGCATTTTTTTAATAATAATTTCTTAATTTTTTTCGCTCGTGCAAATTATTGATAACTCAAGACTTTAATGAGATAATGGACTTTTGGCCTCTATTAGCATGCAGATATACATATAATATGATTGGGTGCCGCCCAACATCCCGACACTTACCTTCCCGACAATCCAACATCCCGACAATCTAACTTTCTGAGAATCTAACTTCCTGACACTCCAACTTCCTGACAATCCAACTTCCCGACAACCTAACTTCCCGATAACCTAACTTCCCGACAAATCTAACTTCTCAAATTTAAACCTAACTCATCCAAACTTCCTAAAAAAGCTAGGTCAATTTCTGGTTTATGTCTGGTTTGGCGGAAAATTAGGTATGTCAGGATGTTAGGTTGTCGGGAAGTTGGATTGTCAGGAAGATGGATTGTCGGGATGTTGGGACTGTCGGGATGTTGGATTCTCGGGAAGTTGGGTGTCGTGTCGGGAAGATGTGGTGTCGAGAGATTGGGTAAATTAATACAGTATCTTGAGTTTTAGTAATATAAAATCTATTTTACAGTTAGTACATGTATAAATTTATAAATTTTATACTAATTTTTATTTCTTTTATTATTTCTATTATATATATACGTTAATAAAAATTTTTACATAATTGAATACATTGTTAGTAATATATATTTAATATTGAAAAGTTTATAAAAAATATTAATATATAAAAAATTTATATATGTAACAACAGAAAGTGGTGGTGTACCTTACGAAAGAACAGGTTCAATCTTGCTTTGGCTTCATTAAATTATACATGTACATGTACATGTAGATGTATACCGGTATTGTGATTACATTCCAAATAAAATGTACATGCAAGATATCACCTGTCGAAACACGATCAGTTTCATACAATATCGATATGTTTCTTACGATTCTGGCCGAAATTTCAGCATTTCATTTCGCTTCTGTGAATGGTATGTTAGATTATAAAATGGACAAATTTCCCAACTAAACATTTCGTGAATCAAGACATGACTATTGAATGTGTTATTGATATTGATGCTGAATCTAAATGTGTCGGTTTGTATGTCCAGAACGAAGGTAAACTTACATTTGTTAGTATATGAAAATTTTATTTCGTTAGTTGCACGACAACTTTAACGTGCTTTTTATTGTTTATATTAAAATTTTCATGAATCAAATCTTAAATCACTTTGTTTTTGAAATTTTCATTTTTATTTGCATTTAGAGATAGCGTTACCAAATTCCGACGTACGTAATATTAATATTTTACATGATTTATATTAGTTTAAGACACTTGATATGTTTTAGGATATTCTAATGACTGAAAATGCAAAGTATTCAGTTTCCACTCATCGAGACTTTCAAAAGATGATGATAACCAACAAAGAGCACCTAATAATGCTCTCATACAACCTAAAAAAGGAGTTTGATAGTTATGCGGGATTTACGAGAGCTAAACTAGCAATAATGCTGATGGTAATGTAGACGATTTTGTTACCTTTGTTTTTAGCTAACTTGGGTACGAGAGAGATTTTTCTAAAGAGCATGACGTAAAGTCATAAATAGTGTCTTTGGACTAATATTAAGAAATACATGTACCCTATTGCTGGAAGTCAAAAATCGGCAATGAAGACTTCATTATAAATTATTGAAATATTTCAAGGGTGAAAGTCACGATGTACAAATTCTTCTCCGTAACTTGTGAAAAAAATTAACTTTAAATAAATTGTGTTAATTCTTAATATACCTTGTAGTAGATTGTCATCTTTTCACAAGACATTTGTAACTGGGTTTCAAATTATCGTCCCAACTGCATTTTAGAACATATTTTTTGAAATGTTCGTTTGTATTAAAAAAAACAAAAAAAAAGCTTTCATTTCGAAAAAGAATTGCGCTCAAGTTAAAAAGAAGTTATGTTGGAATATTAATATTAGGAATTCGAAAGAATTGTATCGGAATATCGAGAAGCCAAATTAATAGAAAGAAGACCTCGTTTAATGTAATTTGAAATTTCCTTCACGATCGCACTTGTACAACCATGCCTTAAAACCCGCCTTTTTGCCAAATATTCAACGTTAACGAATCTTTCGATTTTTATGCATTCATTATTAGACCGCCGATATTTTTATTTTCGCTGGACCATCTAGTTTTATAAATTTGTCGAAACATTTAGGACAATAGTAATTATTTTCCTGCAATTCATCCCATCAGACTAGCATGCATGCATGCATGCATAACGACAACAATGCATAATAAAGACATGTGCAACTAATAATTTAAAACAAAAGAGCAATGAACAACGACAAATTAAAGGAACAAAAGGTTTTGGTTTTAATCGAGTTTCAAAATTTAAGAATTTATTGTTCTTTGTTGCCTAAAAAGGCCACTGTTAAAAATATTTTAATTAGTTACACAGCATTATATTATTATATTGTTGGAGTACACGCGGCCGTTAATAAAGTAGATCATCTTTGTTCGCCCAATTTTGATGTGCATCGTTATATAAATACTCCTAACACGATATTCTCTTCTTCACTCTTCTCGATGAAAGTCATCCAATCTATTTAACTACGTTTATTTCAAATCCTAAACCCATTTTTTTTCACCTAACGTTATTTATTTTTATTTTTTCACTCATTCGCACTTTTTCATCATTAATCTCAACATCCCAAAATAGTCGCGTAGCACGCTTCTATTTTCCCAAAGAAAGAACGAACAAAAATACACACTTTAATTTTCCTCTGTGAGTGAAAATCAAATACCAGAAAAAAAATAACATATTAAAAATGGCAAGCTCTTCATGCATCCTTCTAAACGCGCTGCGCGTCCTCTCAATTATATCGCTATTGCTAGCAATCGCAACATGCGTCATCGTAAATGTCAAAGGATTCCCAAACCTCGGGCAAAGTAATACGATATTCCAGTTTATTAACCGATGTGTGATTGCTTTAGAAGCGCTGATTTTGATTTTCGCGGAATTGGGTTGGCCTGCACGCATATTTACGTGGTTCCCAATGTTGGATGACCAACATAGTTGGTCGTTTTTTGGATTTTTGCAGATTGTGTAAGTTTCTTTATTTTCCTTTTAATTGTTTTTTGTTTTTATGAGAGAAGAATGAATTCATGATTGCCTTTTTAATTAGTATGGGGTCACTTATTCTTGGATATGATAGCGGCATTAGCAGCATTCATTTCTTGGGCCATAGGTAAAATCATTACTTATTTTTTTACTAGAATAAATTGTTATCATTTATAAAATAACCAATTTTTCATCACCGTAAACAACAAACAGTCTCTACATATTTATTGTGGTCCCTGGCTGGTTCATCTTTATCATCGGTATTATATATATGATTATTGGTGCATTCGGTGGTCCAGAAATCAAAGCTACACGTCGACTCGATAGTCCTCCTGACTATAAAGTATAATCATCATCATCATCATCAATAACCAATAATAATTTAGATAAATGAACAATTTTATTATTAGTTAAATGCATTTGTTACATTTAACTACAACGAACATTTCTCGTACAGTCAAATCTCGTGATGTATAGTTTGTTTTTTTTTTACCTTTTATTCCCTGTATTTTAGTTTGTGAAAAGGAATTATTTTTGGTTCTTACATCTCGTAATGCGAAAATTACATTGAAATCATTAAAGAATCATTATACTCTGGCTGACCTACAGGGCATTTAAATTATTTCCCAATTTAGGCATAATTTGTTATGTTCGTTTTTTTCGTTTTTGTCTGCTATTGTCCTTTATATAAAAATGATCCCCATACTGTTACATCAGTTTGGATAACGGGGGGGGGGAATTAGAAAGCAAATGGTGTTCAATGCCTGTGTCGATATCTTCGGATATCGTTATCATCGGGTTTTTAGGGATTGGGTGTGGGGAATTTACGAATATAAAAGGGTAATGCGGATAATTGTATCTCTAATTCTTTTATTAAGGGTTATTTAATTATCTCACGGGTTTCTAAGCTAATTGTTCATCAGTACATTCGAATGCAATCACAATAATCGTATGTCTTTTCTGGTGCAAAGGATCCAACCATCAATCAATTCAACGGGTTTCCACAGGTATCAGTGAGTGGAAATAATATAATTATATTATTTCCACTTAGTTTAGGCTATGAATGACGATGGGATCATATATGCGTCGTCATTCGAGTGATGATTGGTTCACGAGTTCGTCGTACCCATGATCTATAAAAAAATACCGTAAAATGCTGACTAGTATACCCCCCATGATTTATATCCTGTATTGATTTTTTGATCCGATTTTTGATTTATCTAATATCTCTAATTATTCTTCACTTGCCCAATCATTTTCATAACCTTCTACTTCATCATATATCTCTCCATCAATAGAATCAACTACCAAAACTTCTTCACTATTTTCTTTTACTAAACCCTCATAATCAAAAACTAATTCATCTTCTGTTCCATTCATATTTACCAAAATACCACAATATTTGAATGCTTTCCTAATTAAGTTAGAATCAACATTATCCCATGATTCTTTAACCTATTGTGCAACAGTTGCATATGATGATTTTTGAATGCATCCAGCTGGTATTATTAATTGATAAATATCCATTCATTGTAATAATCATGCATCTAATAAATTAAAAATTTAATGAATATATTTTATATAATCATGATATGATAAAAAAATTAATTTATCTTTTTTTTGAAACTTTTGTTAATAGTAACATCTAGTAATTGAAGTTTACTAGTCAATTCATCTAGAATAACTGCAAGATAACTTTGAAATTTCATTTGACTGATTCAATTAAATAGACTCAAAATAAATTCAAAACAAGAAAAGGTTTTGGAGTTTCCATTTAATTCAAACAGTATTAATCTAATAATTTCTTTCTTGTTTATTATACTATTCTTTCTTATTAGTTCAGATAATAATTTCTTGAGAAAAGTTTTCATGTGAGATATTTTTCAGTTTAAAAATGCATATAAAAGAGAGTTTTATATTATCAACAAGATATTCAAATAATATAAAAGAAAGAAATAGTTATAAATATTTTTATTTTATCTCTCATATTAAAAAATAATAAATATATATTTCAAAATATATAAAGCAAATTAATTAATATATTTTATATATTATATAAAATAAAGATATATTAAAACTTAAAACTACATATTTTTATTATATAAAATAATAAAAATAATTATCTAAATTAGATTATATTATTAAGTATCAAGTATAATTTAAATATTAATAATATCTATATTATATAAAAAATAATTAAGTTTAAATAAATATTTCTATTATTTAATTTATATATTTTATAACTAATTATACTTTTTTTTATATTTTATATAATACTTTATAGAAATATTTAATTTCTTTTAACTTTTTATAGATCATATATAATATACTAAATTTTTTAAGTATAAAAATATAATAAATACTAATCATAATATTTTTTATAAATTAATAAAGCTTCTATATTAAATATTATATATTTATAAATTTTTAGATTCTTAATATAATTATTATTTTATAATATATATTTCAATACTCAATAATTTAATTTTTGATATTTAGTAATCTAATTTGAATAAAAATAATATTATTTAATTTATCTTAATTAGATAAATCAAATAGTTATATTTTTAAAATAAATTACTAAATATTAAAATATTAATTTTAAAGTAACAGATTCATTTTTTTTAATACTATCAAAATAAATTAATTCAAATAAAAATAATATTATTATATTTATTTTAATTAAATAAATCAAATAATATTATTTTTATTTAAATCAGATTTATATAATATAAAAGAAATTATTTAAATAAAAACTTCTTTCTAATTTATTATTTAATTTTATATAATCTAATTAGTATTAATTATATATAAAAATATATTAAAATATATTTAATATAATATTAAAGAGTAATTAATTATATAAAATAATACTTAATATATTATTATTTAAATTTAAATCAAATTAATTATATATAATATAGTTATTATAAATTGCTAATTAATATATTTAAATATTTTTAATATTTATTTTAATATTTAGAGTACTTATATAAGAGAGATATTTTATATTAATGAAAGATATATTCTATAAGTTATATTTTTTTAAAGAAATTACTCAATTAAATATATTTTTTATTATATATTTAATATAATTTTTAATTTTTTACTTTTATTAATATTTAATATATAAAATTTTTTTAATTTTAAATTTCAAAAAAATAGCTTTATATAAAAATAAATTACTGAAATAATTTCATATTATACAAAAAATCTGTTATAGTTAATATATTTATGAAAAACTCATAATTATTTATTATTTAAAATATATTAATAATATATAAGAAATAATTAAATAATTTAATATTAAGTTTAAGTAAGTTTGTAAGTAAAAAAATAAAAAAAAGAATTATTAAGACTGAATCTTATATTTTAATACTTAATTATAATTATCAAGTATAATATTTATTATTTAAATAAAAACTTATTAAGTAAATTATAAAATTATATAATAAACAAAATATTATAATATAAAATATAATAATCTAAAAAGCAAAATTAATTTCTTAAACTATAAATTTAAAAATCTTTATTTTGATATTATTAACTTCAAATTTTCTAATTAGTATTTAAATAAATTTTTATATTATTATAATCTTTTAAATTATAATTATATAATTATTATATAATATTTTTTTCAAAATCTTATTAAAAAATAAAGTGAATTTTTAAGTTTTATTTTATTCAAATGCTATTAATATGAGTTTTTAATAAAATATATTAGAAATATAGATAAAAAATTACTATCTTTTGATATTTTTTATTCAATAACTCTTGAATAATATGATATTAAGATAGTTAATATTTGAATAACAAAATATAAAAGAACTTATTTTATTATAATTCTTAAATATTTTGCTAATAGTACAAAATTTTTTTCTATATATATTTTCAAAATAAAAAATATTCTATATAAAAATTTTTCTTAAGAAGTTATTATCTGAGCTAATAAAAAAAATAATATAATAAATAAGAGATAAATTATTAGATTAATATTATTTGAATCAAATATAATATTTATTTTATAATTATTCTAGATAAATTAACTAATAAACTTTAATTGCTATTAATAAAAGTTTCAAAAAAAAATAAATTAATTTTTTTATCATATTATGATTATATAAAATATATTTATTAAAATTTTTAATTTATTAGATATATAATTATTATAATAAATAAATAGTTAATAAAGTTTATTAATTAATATCAGCTAGATATATTCAAAATTATTATATATAACTATTATATAATAGGTTAAAAAAATATAAAATAATATTAACTCTAACTTATTTAAAAAGTATTTAAATATTATAATATTTTGATAAATATAAATAAAATAAAAGATAAATTAGATTTTGATTATAAAAGTTTAATAAAAGAAAATAGTAAAAAAATTTTGATAGTTAATTTTATTAATAAAGAGATATATAATGAAATAGAAGAGTATAAAAATAATTAAATAAATAAAAAATAATTAAAAATATTAGATAAATAAAATTTTATTATTATATTTAGATATTTTTTATTATATAGAATATAATTCTTTAAATTATATTATATATCATATTATTACTATAATAACATAAATTTCTTTAATTTTGTAATTTTTTAAATTTGAAAAATTTAACTAATTAATTGATCTTTAAAAGATATATAATTTGAAATAATATAATTGATATATCAGTTATAAATTCAATCACAATTCAGCAATATTTTTGTAATATTCTTGTAATATTTTTATAATACTTTAAGATTATTAATGAATAATTAGTCTCAAAATCAATAACATTTACAAATAGTTTAATAATAGTTTAGAAATACTTCAAAAATAATTTAGCAATAAATTTTATTTATTTTTATTATTATTTTTTTTTAGAATATTTATCTTATTTTTTCATTTTACTTCATTATTTGT